ACCCAAAGAACAAACAATTAGCCCACAGCCCGCAATTGTTTCATGGGGGGGGCGGGGACTTGCTGAGGGGCTTGATTTGTTAATAACGTATCGTTTTGAAGTTTATTGTTTCCCCTAAAAAATTGAAATTGCGTCAGCCAAGTTCATATCCACAATCAGATTGTTTACATACAAGTATACATGAAAAACAAACTATGGCTAAGTAGTCTATGGAAGTAGTACGATAAATTTCTTTATGAGATTCTCACTGTGGCACGACTTTTTTTAAAAGTACTTATTAGAACATAATTATTCCCATACAGTTAAATATTTTAAAAAAATCGTAGATTTCTATTATTTCTTTCGTTTTACTGGTGTTGACCAGAAATCATTTGGAATTAAGAGGATGCGTTGTTACCTGCCGACAAAAGAATTCAAGTAATGGCCAACAGTGTCTTTCAAACTCTCTCTGCAAAAGATTTATGCTTTGTTTTTATCGATGGTTCAGCTATTTGTTTAGATCTTAATCCTTCGTTTAAACACAGTATCTTAATCATCTAGTCTGAAAAAGTTAATCATTGGTGTAGATTTTCTTTTTATTAGATTATTCATATAAGAATAATACTAGAGAAATTCTTCTTAATTCATTCTAAAGTAGTGTCTTGTAAAAAGATATTATGATTATCAATACTCATCTACCATCTGTTCTTCATCGTCTTTAAGTTGATATTCACGTTTCAGACTTCCAATGTCACTATTTGCATACATATTTGCATAATCTTTTGCCTGCTTCTCATATTCACATGGATCGTCTCGATATAAATGTGCCTTCTCTATTGAAACTGCATCGCTAAAATTAGGCTTTTTGAGAAGGTCGATAATACTATTGAACACCGTCGTCATTTTGGTCAGTTCAGCCCAACTTTGATCAAAAATTTGATGACAAATCTTTCCATCACCACTGATATTGACATGGTAAATTGGAGTCACAAAACGGGCATTCGGTGGATAACTCGGATAGGATTCACCGAATTCTACGTACAGCATCCAATACTTATTTTCATAAGGCGTTCTTTCAGGTCCTTTCAAAATGACTTTCCAACATGAGATATTGTTAAAGACGACGAAAACAAAGAATTCATCAGACTGATGATCATGTATTGCAATAAACTCTTTGTAAATACGAACAAAATGAGATGAATTTTGGATATTTCCATTATAACACACTTGACAAACTGCTGACTGCTGAAAGTTTGGATTAACGTGACGCTCTGGTTTTTCAACGATGCCATGAGATTCGCTAGCTCGTTTCGAAAGCCAAACAGCAGCTTCTTGTTCGAACATTGTTGCAACTTCAATTTTTGATCGATAATGAAGCTTTGAATAAACGTAGCCTCCCGAGTTTATGCATAATTGACGAAATTCTCGAATTGTATTATTATCTTTGTCGTTCAGTTGGTTGTCATGTAGAAATGATACAAAATCAATTACAATTTTATTATCGATAAGTTGTCTGTGTAAAGTTTCGATTGTTGTCGAACCAGCATTGTTGATACCATCAGACAAACAAATAATCAGTTTTCTGCAATTTTTCTTTGCCCTCAGTGGACTATTTATATATACTTTAATACGGCGTATTGCTTCATTGACAGCATCATACATATGAGTCCATTCACCCATAAGAGTATGAGACTTGAGTGCTTTTTCAAATTTGTTCCGATTTCGCGTAATTGGGCAGGTTACTTTGACGCTTTGACCGAATTCAATGAGCCCAAATGCATGAACTTGATCCTTTGGCAACATATTATCACTCAATGTACCTAACATCATTTTGCACATATTAATATGGGTACATTTTTCTGTGCTACAATCGTTGCCAACATAGTGATCGAACATGGATCGACTGAGATCGAGTAGAACGATAGTAACTTGCTCAGCTGGTTTCATTGTATTGATCTCTGTAAATGATAAATTATTGGGTTTCGTGCTTACGTTATTTGAAAAATATAGGGGCAATCGTGGATCTGGCCAGTGTTGTTGTTCATCGATGAAAGCTTCAGCAGTGACCAGCAAAGTCTCGTTCGATTCGTTGAGAGGATCGAACATGCAAAAGAAATGATTAATATCCCGTTGTTGGTCTTTATTCTGATCAGTCTTATTCTGTCTCGAAAAAAGCAGCGAAACTGTGCATTCCTTATTGAGAAGAACAAGTTGATTGCTTATGTTAGCGGTCAACGCACCACGTGTTACTATAGTAAGATAAGGATATTTTCGACTCATAATCTTATAGTATCTATTTATTTCATCTTCACTCCAGCGCACCAATTCTTTCAACTCGGATGAGACGTCAGTAATTGGATCATAGATTTCGTACTCCGTAGATGTGCAAGCAAGACCAGGTGAATGACCAGTCGTTTTTGTCAAATATCGATTTAACGATCGGAGATCAACATGCCTTGTCACGTTATTGTAACTCTGTGTCTCATTGAACTCTTCTAAAATAAGCTTTTGACGACTCATATCTGATGTAGTGATCGGATCTTGAAAATAAGGATTTTCATTTCGACGAGTATCAACTAATTTTACCACTGAAAAAAAGTCTTCTTCGGTCTCATTTGGATCACATTTTTCAAGAAGCCAACAGAACAGTAAAGGAATAAAATCGAAGCATTCGCTTGAATTAATTGGGACGTTGTGCACTGTTTGTGGACATAAACGGATCGATAATTGTATTAGTGCATCCATTAATAAGGCCTTTTCAAACCAAAACATAGAACCTTCAAGTGCATGTTTAAACGCAAGAACCGCAGGTGGAAAGATATATTTTCTGAGCTGAAGAAAAAATTGGGCCTCCATCGCGCGTCGAATACCAGCTAATTTCGGGTTATTGCATTTGAAATACAATGCAAGTGCATAAAGGCTACTCAAAAGAGTAGTCTGGGATCGTTCTACTTGTTTATAATCGGTAAAATATACCGGATTCCATGAGTCCGAAGCTTTGAAAACAGGAATATGACCATTGTCGAAATTGTACATGAAATCACGATGTTCTATGGGTAGTGCATAAACATAAAAATCTGTTGCAGTATTCTCCGGTAAAAGCTGAAGAAAATCTTTGACCAATTCATTTGGATTACCTTCAAGAAATATGTGAAGTCGACAATTAAAAAGAAGAAGTATATTGTTACAGTCCATTATATAGCCTTCCTCCTCAAATGATATTTCATCCCAAATTATGCGTATCAAATCCTTTATTGTAGCATTACGAGGTATCATAAGAGAGTAAGTTTTGCATAGACTTTGAATCTTGACGATCAGCGGTGTTGTATGTAGCATACTCGATGTAGACTTGGTCTTCTTAAAGTAGGGTGAGTCAGAATTATTTGTCGTAGGAATAGCAAATGAAGGTTTTGTTGATTCTGATACGGAACAAACTTCTGGTGAATCTTCTTCAAAGTCACTTCCATATCTTTGGATGTTGTATTCGCTTTCTTGAAGTAGTACAGGCTCTGATTTTGATAATCGTCGAGTTTTTTCAAAAGATTTGTTCGATTCATTCAACGTTTCTTGGTCATTGTCATTGTCACTTTCGAAATCTGACTCTGAGTAAGTATCATAGGTATTTGTTTGAATACTATCAGAATCTGGTACTTCACAAATCTCTGATCGAGCATTCTGTTCAAAGAAGCTTGAGCAGATTGGTTGGCTCTCTTGTATGATCACCAATTTGTTAGATTCTGGCTTGTTGATTATGGAAGGATGAGTAGAAGGAGACAATGGTGGTTGTTGATGTATCTTATCGAGTTTTGGGTATCTAGGAGACATTTCTGGAAAGTCTACATAGTTCACGGATGATGTTGGCATAAGAAGGACAGAATTTTTTGGAGAGACAATCGGTGGCAAAAACATGTTATTTGTTTTTCTACTTGATTCTAATGTGGGGCAGTCATTGTGTAGATCGAAGCGGGCTGAAGGACGAGGACACCGAATTATCTTAATTAAATCGGTATTTGTATTGATTTCCAACGCTTTCAGTATCGCTTTCGGGTTCAGCTCTTCATGATTGTGGTGTAATTTGAATTTTTCGCGAATTTTAAAATGACCTGCGACTTCTGTCATGAATTGTGCCACCGTTATAACTGGATGATCCACACATATATATTTCCTACAACCAGTTTCGACATCAACAACACGATAGTAAACTGTCGTCATGTTAAGTTTACAAATATCTGCAAAATATACGTCGCAAAAAGTGAGAATCTAGCACGATAAATAATCGTATTGTCCCCAGCAGATTCCATTCCCCGATTAAGTTAGTGATGCATCAACATGGAGTTTTGGTGAATATTTTTTGAGTGACTTGATTTTGATCATGTATCGCGAATAAAATGGTATTTCAATCAGTGGTTTCTCTGAAACCTATATTTAGTCTCTATATTATGCCGACAGAAAAGTTCAGTCTTTAACACTGATTTCTATTGAAACAGTACATCTAACGAACTCAACTGTCACTGAACGATGTTTTTCGTATAAGATTTCGGATCGCTTTCATGTGTATATCTTTAAACAATAATTATGTTTCTAGTTTTGGGACTTATATAGAATACATATTGAGTTGACAGGTAATAATTATTTTATAAAAAACAAATTTAGCAGTGTAGCCTCTTATGGGGCAAAAATGTAGAATTCACAACGTTCGACTGTTATAAATTTATGGTGTGTTGTCAAAGTTTTTCAAATAAATCATTAAAAATATAATTCAATAAATTAGTTAAAATTGTAATAATTTTTATAACTGATAGACATGTTCGAAAATTTAATGCTCTTGAAACTCGTCTTATTTATAATTACCCATGTCGTCTTTTTTTTTCAAAAACCGACGGTTAACCACGGTTAACCAACGGTCAAAATCCGAGCCGGTGGTCAAGCGAGGTTAACCGACGGTGTTGTTTAGTTATGTTTACCAAGTGTAATTGATGAAAAGTGCAAGGCGGAAACAGTTAAAATAAGACTTTTTTGACTTTCTGATTTAACGTTGATGAAAAATAAAAAATAAAATCTTTCTTTATTCAAAAAGAATTAATGCAAAACGTATCCCCAAAGCGAAAGCTTTTTGGTTAGCATACAGAAGATTTATCAGATTTCTTTCTATATACGCATAGCTTTTGAANACGAATGATTCCAGATGACTTTTAACTTTAAGTTAACAATAGCTAAACTAAGCTATTTCAAATAAGAAAGCATAAATAGATAAAGACGAAATGATCTAATCTTCAATTGAAATCGAAATATAAGTTCTTGCTGTCTATTTCTATTTAAAAAATACTTGTGATAATAATTATATGAGAAATCCCATTATTTATGCTTTCTTATTTGAAATAGCTTAGTTTAGCTATTGTTAACTTAAAGTTAAAAGTCATCTGAAATCATTCGTTGATTTTATTCTGTGTAGAGACAACTTCGTAAGTATGGCAATTTATCTTCGCTATTGCCTTCAACATAAATTATTTATTTGATTTTTTTCGTTTTAGCATTTTTACAAATAATTTAATCGATTTTAGAATCTAAAGTTAATTCGAACAAATATCAGATTCTATCTCTTAAAATATTTAGCCAAAATTGGAAAATAAAATTATTTTTCATTTTTAAATAACTAAATTATCTCAAACATGAGTAAAATCAGTGTTATGAAATCTTCTATAGTATTATAGAAAAAAACCAAGAGATTTTCTAAATGTCTATTCGCATATTGAGGAAAAAGCAAAAATTCGTTGAACGAAAAATGTTCGTCGATAATTGAACGATACGAATATTAGTTGAAAAATTTATAATGACAGAACAAAAGTTTCACGACAGACTTATAAGCCAAAGCATTTGTCGATCAAAAGGTCGAAACCAAATTGAATTATCGAATGATTCGATTCGCATCAGCCGAATCGAATTGAATCCAAATGTATATGCTGTCCAATTCAATCAAGATTTTTCTATTCGTTTTGGTCTCTGAGGTGGATGTGAGTGTGGGTGCCAGCGCGGGTATAGAGAGATTCCAAGAAGATCCATACCAACATCTATAGTTTACTGATATATTATCTGTTAATTAAAAGGAAATGTCCTGTAAAACAGTCAGCGTTTACTTTATTTTATATGATACTATCACAAGAATTCAAAGAACTACTAAAACCTCAAGAGTTGATATTCGTTTCTTTCATATAACTGAATGTTTTTGTTAAAAAAGGTTTAGTTATTTTATTGTAACTTTCTCAATTATTTTTCAAGTCGACCAATTTTCGTAAACCTCATATCGAATTATATGTTGAATAAAAAATCAGAAAGAAACAAAAAACAGAGAGAGAAAGAGAGAGAGAGAGAAAGAAAGAAAGAAAATTCTTCTGTCAGCTGTAGAATCCATTGCCGTTGAATTAGACTAAAGAAAAATGCATCATTGTTTTCATTGACGATATCGGTCAAGTAGAACATATGAGTATGTCTCGATATTTCTAAGATATATACGTTTAAATGCCAATGGAATATTCATCGATTCATTTGAATAATTTACCTGATGAAATTCTTCTGATTATTTTTAATAAACTTAATAATGCCACTCTACTTTACTCATTATTAGGTGTTAATAAACGATTAAATAAAATCTTATATGATTCTATATTTACCAATCATTTAAGTTTATTACGACGTCAATCCAATCATTTAATTGCCTTTAGATCTTTATCAAGTCATCTTATTTATCCATTAGTTGATCAAATACTTGATCGATTTTGTACAGAAATTTTATCTGAAATTCATGATAAAATCGAATGGCTTGATCTTGAATCATCATCTATGGAACGTATTCTTCTGGCTACAAATTATCCTCATTTATCAGGACTTCGTTTATATAATATTCAAGCAGAGAAAGCTGTACATTTATTTTCTGGTATGAAAGTATCGATTACTTCAATGATTAGTAATAGATAAAAGCTGAAAATGAAATGAATTTTGACTTGAATCAGTTGATATTTGATTAGTAAGATAATAACATATATTAATAATCTTGAAATAATTTTCTACTTTAATAGTATGGATTGTCATCATAGATGAGTGAGAAGCTGTTCTCGAAAAAAACATTTCGAATACAAGAAATGTTTTTTTTTTGAAAAAAAATCTCGATATTTTTTGTCAAATTAAAGTTTTAAATTGAAATTTTCGAAGAACAATATTTAGAATAAAATAGATCATACTATTTTATATTGGTTAGAGAACATCGAACATTGATGATAGAATGCAATCTATTGAATATAGTTCTAATAATAGAAGATCATCTCATATGTAAACAATAGTACTATCAATATAGATCAAATCAATAAATATTTTGATTAAAACAAAAAAAAAAAAATCTAAGAAAATACTCTTTTCAGTGATTTTAAAAAATTTGTTTTATTGTTTAGATAAAACTTGTTTTACTGATACATTGAAAAAACAAATAGTATCACTTATTATCGATATCGATACAAATGGAGAACAAAGATCAACGAAAGATATCAATGTTATTTTATTTACGCATATATTTAATATATTTACTAATTTACGATCATTAAGATTTGGTCTATCTTCAATATGGTATCAACTATTATTATTTTCTACTCCACCTTCAACTATTATTTCTTCAAAATTGTTGGAATTACATGTATCTTTACAACATTTTACCGATTGTCTTTATTTAGTTGATGGACGCTTTAATCAACTTCATACACTTCATGTTCATATTGATTGTATTTGTAGTTCAAGAATTCTAATCGATAATAAAGTAGAATATATTGACCAAATTTTTATTTATTGAAATCTACTAATCTTTATTGTCTTTTAATAGGAAAATTTACCGAATCTAAGAAATTTTTCGTTGCAGAGTGATATGGCTACAACTTATTATGATGAATTCATTGTACCACTGTTACATCGAATGATAAATATAGAAAAACTTGATTTGTCTCTTATTGTTTGTGGAAGAAACACATTTGTTGATGGCTATGATTTGAACATAAATATCATTGATCATATGAAGAAATTAAATATATTTATATTCAATATTCGTTCTGAGAGTCGTTTTTATAATAAAGTTAATTTACCATTAAATGAAGACATTCAAAATACATTCAAAGATGTTAAAAATAATAAAATAATATCTTGTGTTGATTATTTCCAAGACATGAATTATAGTGAATGCCATATTTATTCTCAACCATATAAATTGAAACATTATCATAAAATAACAAATAATTTTTTCGTTGGACTATTTAAATGTGTTCGTGAAGTATCATTATTTGATGAACGTCCATTTGAACATGAATTTTTTCTTCTAATTCAAAAATCATTTCCATTAATGGAATACTTAACTGTAATCAATCGAAAACGACAAAAAAATAAACAATTTAGAAAATTAATAAATGAAAATCAAGAGTTATCAATAATTAAATATCCTCATCTTATTGAACTTGATTTTGTTCAAACCTCCAAAGATTATCATGAACAATTTTTATATGATAACAAAATATGTTTACCAAATGGTGTTAGCATTCGTATGAATTATCAAATAGCCAAAAAAGTAACACGCAATTTTCGAAGAAATAATACTCGAACTAATTGTGCCAAAATCAGCTCTATATTTTTTTCCAACAAATTAACGTTTCCTCATCATTTACAAGACTATTTTCCACATGCAAAAATAGTTTGATTATTATTAACTATTATTTAAAAAAAAACATTTCTATTGAATGACTCTATTAAAATAAAGAAAGAATGTTCTTTTTTCTTTTATAAAAGTGTCAAAATCTATGAATACATAATAGGAATAATCACATATAATGATGTATCACTGATTGAAAAATAATGAAGAAAATAGTTGTTGTGTAAGAAAATAATATTTTATTATAAATTATACTTCTATCTCCGGTTAATTATGATTACATAACATAAAATATGTTTCTAACAACTGAAAAATCAATAGAAATATTGAGAATTTAAGTAAATACTTTTAGCATCATTGTTGTCGTGTTAAAACTTGGAAACACGATATAACTGTTTTATTATTAAAAAAAGATTTATAATACAGATTTTTAAAATTATGTATTGGTATGATGTCTAAAGACTAATGACTCATGCTTTCTATAGCAGATTTGAAAGTCACTGATGGACTTTGATCGAGAAATCGGACAATGAATTCTATGAGATGATATTATATCGAAAGATTCAGAATTTTATTTTGATTCGAATGTTGTGTCTCTGGTTTGGGGCAGATTTTTCAGAGAGCTGCTTAAAGCAAATTACTTTTCGACAGTACTGCTTTCTGTATTTTTTTTCGTACTATTGATGTAACAATCAAATGAAGCTGTTTCAAACGAGTTCAGTCTTCATTATTTGACTTGTCTATTCACTACTCGAAAACTTAAAATGGTATTAGACCTCATATCTTTTGACTTCGATAACAATAATTATTATTCATCATAAAATATTTGTTACTTGCAGTAATTATAAGTCAGAACGTTTTCTCATTGCTATGTCCTTAGATCCACAATTTTGATTGTTTGGTAGGATCTTAATATTGTTTTTGTAATTTACTGATGATTTCTGATTTAGGCTTCCTTTCTACACTATATGTACAATAAATGTTGTACACGACTTAATTTTGTGCTTAAATTATCCTAAATGTAAAAATACTTTTTAGTGATTTTGTCCTTTGTCGCAGCAATACAACTTTGTTACTTTTTTTCCTGTCATTGTGCTTTTTTTTTATTGTTTTCATTTTTGATTTTGATACCATTAGTTTCATTGTAAATGAAAAAATTAATTCATTCAATGTACCAAAATAATCTATTTGTAGTGTAAGAAAAATTGAAAAACAAAAGCCTCGTATCTCATCATACAAAAGAGTAGGAGAAAAAAAATTAAAGAATCCATGATATGGAGACGCAGGATATCTTAGGTCAGGATTCGCGTATTTCGTGAATGGATTCGCCATAAAGTAGTCTCCAACTCTGAACTGTTAGTCTCCAAGTA